CCCTAACGTTCTGTGATTCTGTGAAAAAAGATTACTAAATATCTCCCAAGACAGATGAGCAATATCCTAAATGCTAAATAGGGAGGCCAATGAAACCCAAAAAGAATTCTGAATTGTAACCATTAGACTCACATGGAAACCCTTACAGTTGTGTTTTTATTGAATCAGGGGATGCCCTAGGTAAGTATATTAAAGATGAGTCAGGAGTGGCTCTGAATTGAAGCAATTTCTAAGTGAGAGAGATGCCAAATAAAACAGCATCAAATACCACAGGCTGAACTTTGAATGAAATACAGAATAAACAGGAAGAATTTTGTTTCCACATTTGAAATTAAGATGGTATTCAGGCTTACTCCAATTAGTCCATTTTTTCTAATTTCTTTCAACTATTGCTATCAAAGTACTCAGCTTATTAAGAACCACAAAACAGCATAAATCTAAACTGCTCAAACAGCTCCAATGCAGTTCACTGGGTACATACAGTCAAGCTTTTCTCCCACAGGAAGCAGGCATCAGTAATTCCCCTTCCATTATTCCAGGGTTTTCTTTCTCTCAAAAGAACAGTAACAAACTATTCACATACTAAAATAGACTGACAGCTTATCCTTCCTTGGATGGCATTTCCTTTCTGTGCATTTGAGGAACTACAACACAATGAAACCTAATATAGCTTTTTCCAGAAATGCTGATTTTGTTAAACATTAAGCAAAGCTATATGGAATCTTCATGCTGTAACTAAAGAAAATAAATCTAAAATTATTACAATTGAGAAATACATGGCTGTTGCTGCAGTGGTCTTTACCTAATTTCTAGTTAAAAAGCATTTATGAAAAAGTTGCAAGTGACTTCAAAGAGCATTGCTGTTAAGTATATTTTTTACCTCCATGAGCCATCAAGCTTCCTGTTCATAGTGAAGTTATTATTTCCTTCATACTACTAGCCAGGTTATCTTTTAGCAAAAATGGTAAGGTCACTGAGACCATATGTTGGGTCTTATCTGATAATTTTTGCCTTAACAACCCTATGATTATTTTATGCTACACCCTGCAATTATTTTCTGGTATTCACCTCCACTTCTATTCCCAATTTTGTAAAATATAAAACTAAATAATCACTTCTTGTCACTGTATAGAGCACCTGAACAGAATGAATCATAACCTGCAGTATACTTTCTGTAACCCCAAGTAAGCATGTTTTGTTTGAAGTTTTAATATTAATAATGACTAAAACCCCAAATATATGCAGTATACAAACTGACCAGTTTTGGGTTTGTTTTTGTTTTTTTACAGAAGGCTTAAGTAATTACACTTCAAAACTCAAATTAAAGACTGTCTGCACGTCAGTCAGAAAATACATAAACAGCGTTTCATAATCACAAAGTGAATGAAAACAAAGTTCCTAAGCAAGACAAAACAAGCTGAGTGGATAAAGAAGGGAACTGAAGAACAGCAAAAGTCTAGCACTTCATTTAAAAAAATAGCTTTTAATATAAATCTGGATACAAAACCAACCAAAACACGCTACAGTCTTCTCAAACAATCTTCAAAGTTTTCTCCTGTCAATTCCCTGACAATTTGGCAAGTGTTTGTTTTCTCTGTTCTGCAGTCATATACTCGCAGGCTTCCAAAATATTTACTATAATTAAAGTTTGTTGAACTGTTTTTGCTTTTACCCATATTCTTCCATTCATTCCCAGCACCAGCTCAAACGGGTACAATTGTGACAACTCCTGAATTATTTCGCATTTGGGAGCCAAGAGTCTGTAAGCAAGATTTAAAAAACAAAATCAGAAGAAGTGCTCACAACTGATAGATACATTATTATCAGTAACTAAACCACAGTATTGGTGTTATGGGAGTTATTAAAGCAACACCAAGAGGTAAGATGATCAAGTTGCATATGCATCCAAAGTAGCAATATAGGATCAGATCTTCAACTGTCCTCTCATATCCACCTAAAAAAATACAGCACTTGTGAATGTAGTTGGTTTTTTCTAATTAGATTCACAAGTAATACCTGACAAATTTAAGTTGATACTTTTATAACAATTCTATGATATAATAAATTCCAAAACTACACTGACAAAGTGGTATTTTAAGTGCTGCTATTTATAAATTTGACATCATAGTTAAAGATGTGTCTTTGAAAGCATGACTTCCCTTCTCCTTCTATTAACAGCAGCAAACATAGCTTATTTTGTTTTTATTAGGTGACAGCATATGGAAAAGAGTCAAGAATATTGTAATAAATCTAGGATTAAATCAAGCTTCGACAAGCTTTCTCAGAGAAGGAACAAACATATCAGGATTTAGCAGTTTATTTGTAATATACTGTTACTTCTTTACTTACACACAGACACAATTTGGAAAACAAGCAGAATGGCTGCAAAAATATTTCTATCAGTTCACACTGACTTCTGATGGGACATGTAAACCAGACAAATCACTACTTAAAAACCCCACGTATGAAATAGCTGCTCTGCATCTCCAGATTGTTTTTGCAAACAACAAAACCAAAACCACCCCCATCCAAAGGCAACAAAGCTTGACTATCATTTATCCATATAATCTAGTATTCTTTGATAGTCAAAAAAATCTTATGTTCACACCAGCATAAGTAACTTCAAATTTCACAATACATTTGAAAATTTATGAAACAGTTCCTGGATTAACATGTCAGTTTTATATGAAAATCCCACTTTTAAAAATCTATATCCTTGTTTCAGTGCAATTTGTTTTTCTTGGGAAGTCAGAAAATAATGTGTATTGATGTGGAAAGACCCCTTGAATCAGCTGTCAGCCAAATTCACATCCTCCACTATCCCATTAAGCAGAGAAAGGACAGTACGCATTTCCAGTTTTTAAGCTTTAAGGTAGCAGGTGCATACCTGAAACCCCAGCCTGAATGTTTGATTTCCCCAAATATATGGTTCTGTTTTCCATACTGCCTTGGCAACCACATCACTTTTTATAAACAGGCCATGCAACATCATATAGAAGAGCATCTAAATCTCTTAAGGCAGAAAATACAGGCTCCTTCTAGGTCAATATCCATACTCTATTCAGTAAAAACTAAAATTATGCACTCTGATTGCCAAATTGTCCACGCTGCTGAGAAGAAATAGTTGTGGAAATCCTACCCACTATATTGCACTTTAAAGTGACTACTTACTTTCTTTAAGTACTTACTTTCTTATTAGACCTAAGGAAACTTTAAAGAGGAAGCCATCTTGTCCAATTATTCCCATTCCACTTGATCTTCCACTGCTGTCTATACACACCATCTCTGGTTCCATGTCTTTATTTGCTACAAGGAACTGACCATAAATAAGATCTCCCACCTAAACAAAGCAGTGCCAAAAAGCAGAATGATTAAAGAAGATCATATTGCACATGTGTAAGAAATACTCAGTTCATAAAGGTCCTCCCATGAGGCCACAAAACACTTTTTGAATATCGGTGATAGAAAAATACTGGTATAATAGGAATTTTCATTTTCTCTTCTTCTACTAAAGGAAACATCCTCTAGAAACAATTACCTTGTATCACTACTGTAATTTGAAAGATTCAAGAAAGATACAAGAAAGTACAGAATTTTGTTTCATGGAGTATTCCTTTTTTAAAAAAAATTCCAAACATTAATTCCTCTTTCTTCAGACTTTAAGGGTATTAGAAGTCTAAGCAACCTGCTCTTGTAATCATTTATCAGAAGAACAACAGCAACAACAACAAATCATACTAACTTACTTTGTTTTTCTTTCCTGGCCATTTTTACATTCTGGTGATGGTATCTCAGTTGAATACAGAAGCTATGACACGCACGTGCCACACAACTCTTTTATACAACTTTTTTTCTTAAAAACAACATTTTCTACCCTAGTTCTGTGCCTTCTTCCTTCCTTCACTAAAGATGCACTGCTTTTTTTGCCTGAGCTAATGTTGGTGGAAATTTGACATCTAAAAGTGGTTTTATATTGAAGGCATAAGTTAGAAATGGTGTGACAGGTGAAGCATGTTATGCAAAGAAGTTTCCTCTGTTGTTGTTTTTATGTTTGGTTGGTTTTTGTGTGGTTTTTTTAGGTTTTTTTTGTTTCTTTTTTTTCCCTACCAGACATCTGCTAGTTTCATTTGAAGCTTTCTCTTTATTGTGTTGGAGAGCAGGTGAATAACGACTCCCTGTACTCCATTACCATGCTTTTTGTGACACTATAGACAATGTATTTTACATAGACTACAGACTCTAAAAGTATTGTGGCCAGCAGGTCAAGGGAAGTGATTCTGCCCCTCTACTCTGCTCTAGTGAGACCCCACCTGGAGTGCTGCATCCAAGTCTGGGGTCCCCAACATAAGAAGGACATCGAGCTGCTGAAGCAGGTCCAGAGGGCCAGGAAGATGATCAGAGGGCTGGAGCACCTCCCTGTCCTGGTCTGAGCTAAATAGAACTAATTTTCTATTTAGTAATTTTACTTTTCAGCTCAGTCTCTTTTAAGTGGCTGAACTTGCTGAAACTAGCAGCATGTTTTTCCAGACACTGTTGGTAGAAGTGATAATGTTCAAGGCCACTGTCTCATGGGTGCCGTGTCTGCGCCTATGGGGGGGAAGCAGACCCAAAACTGACCAAGTAGGTATTACATTCCACATACGTCATACTCTGTATAAAGCTGAGGGATCACGAGGGTCTTGACTCTTCCATCTCCAACCCTTCTTCTGTCTCGATCCTGCAATGGCCGAAGTCCGAGCAGAACTCTGTTCATTCGTCTGCCTCTGATCTGATTTGTGTGTTCCTGCATCCTGCTCCCACCTGCTGCTGAGTCCAGACTGGGACTTTTACAGTGCCCTGCTCTGCAGAACCTCTGGGGACGTTACCGTCATTGGAGGAGAGTCGGGAGAGGATTTTACATTGGTTTTGTATATATATTTGTACATATCTGTATATATTTCATTATTTTCCAATTTACATTATTATCCTGTAGTATTACTGTATTATTAAATCTGTTAGTTTTATTTACCAACCTGTAAAGTCTCTCTCTCTTATTCTCTTTTCTCTTCCCTTCTGAGAGGAGAGGGGTTAATAGAGAGCATCTGTCCAGGATTTAGTGGCCAGCCCAGCCCTAAACCACGACACTCCCCTACAAGGATCTACAGAGAGCTGAGGCTGTTCAGCCTGGAGAAGGGAAGGTTCCAGGGAGACCTTATTGCAGTTGTCCAGTTCTGAACGGGTTCTACAGGAAAGCTGGGGAGGGATTTTTTTACAAGGGCAGGCAGCGATAGAACGAGGGGAGGTGGTTTTAAACTGGAAGAGGGTAGATTTAGACTAGATGTTAGGAAGAAATTCTTTACTGTGAGGGTGGTGAGATACTGGCACAGGTTGCCCAGAGAAGTTGTGGATGCCCACTCCCTTCCAAAACTCAAACCAGTCTATGATTCTATACCAGTATCAGATGGTGTAAAAGCTTGTTTTAAAACCTTAACTTTAGAGTGCTACCTTGGATGCACATTGGTCATGAACTGCAACTACTGGTAGCAGTATTAAAGGAAAGTTAAAATGTAAGGAGTACAAAAGCCTGCCATGTGACAGATACTAAGGCACACTAGTTACACGTTTTCTTTAAGAAAGCCTGTAGCCTAATTGTCCAAAAACCTCCAAGGAAGGCTAAGGTGAAATCATTGCAAGTAAACCTGCACTCCTCCTTTTACTAGAAGTATTTTTTTAAGACATGTGTAAGTGTCCTAGTTTACTGAGACAGAATTTTAGAGTCAGGTTTCTGTTGAGGAAAACTCTGATTTTGTAAGGACTACAAAAGGATAAGACTTTGTCACAGGTTTCAGCTGATGCTGGTGTGTGATGCTTAAGGTCTTGAGATAAATAGGTGCAGAGGCTGGAGGGAGCAGAGCTGAAATCCAAGGGAGTTGACCCCAGGCTGACCAGTTAGTACTACTCCATACCATAAACATCACATTCACTATAAACCAGTGAGTTTCCTGGGGATAGCCCTCCTCATCCCTTCTTCCTCCGCTGCTGACATCTCAAGAGGGACTTGTTTACTGTCCTATCTCTGAGGCCTACTCCCCCATGATATTGGCCAAGTATAACTGTGTACTTTATAACTGTTATTATGTTTCACTATTAATATTTTATTATATCTATACCTATTTCAACCCACAAATCTCCTTTCCTTTACCCAACTCCCCTTCCTCAGATGCAGAGAAGGAATCAAGTGATTTAGCAACTGTATAAACCACAACAGTAAGAACTACTGAAACTTAACCAAAGCACCCAAACAACATCGCTAAAGCGTTACCACCAGCAAAGCAGCTCATTACCTGCACATTTGGCCTGTTCCTCTTCGTGGCGCCTTCAAAGGCCAAGTAGGACAGAGACGCCTGCTCGCTCCCACCGACATCCAGCTTAAACACGTCCCCCGCTTTGGCCATCACTATTCCTATTACGTAGTCGCCCTTGACGGGAACATACTGCAAACGGGGATGGCAAACAAACTGGTCAGGCCAGAGCGGACAAGACAGAGGCT